CAATTGCTTCAGAGAAATATTTCAAGGCGTTTTTGTCTTAAGAAGAGACTTTCACAGGCAAGGCATACCAGAAGGAAGGGTTCCCAACTTCATGAGCGGAGTGCTATCTTTGAGTTTCATTTCCCTAAAATCTAACAGTTATTTCAATGGTACACAGCTGTGATCTCAGAGACTATCTGTACAAATGAGATCATACACTGGCAAATAGGCTTGCAAGTCCATGGTGAATTAGGTAATAGCATGGATTTTAGAACAGTCACCTTGGACATTAAAGTGTTTGGAAAGTGAATGGTGAGACTGAACAATGACTTCATGGTTTTCCTTCTGTCAGTGTTGTCTTCAAGTTCATTAAAGACAGCTCTGTTCTTTGAGGCAAATCTAAGTTACTGCCTTCTCTTTGTTTCTTCAATCAATCGCACACATTGACATAGGAAAGTGATGGGTACCCAAAGATTTTCAGTTTTCAGCAATTCAAAAACACCTACCTGGCATCTTGCCTTTGGAGTCAAAGGATGTCAATGCGTCTTTTAAAGTCACTGAATGACATATATTATCCATACTATACTGAGCAGAAGATTGGATCAAAGGGAAACATGTATCTTAAGGCTCTTGATAATGATTGAACAAAGAAAAGGTCTGCTCTTATTACTTCCACTCCTTCTTTATACCTCACCCTTTCCCCCATCCCACCATGGACATAAACTGTGTTCTAAGGGTTCCTCTTCATCATCCAACAATCCCTTCTGGTTTAGTTTCTTTTCCTGATAAAGCAACTTAAGGAAGGAAGGACTTCCATCAGCTCAATGTTCAAGGTGCAGTCCATTGTGGAAGGAATGAGTTTAAGGGACCTGCTCACATGCTACCCACTGTCAGGAAACAGAGCTGTGAGTGATTGTGCTTAGTACCTCATCCTAGGATATAGTGTCATCCACAGTACGTGACTTCTCAGTTGGCTTAATCTAAAGAATCCCTCTGTTCCCACTGGTTGTATCTCAACTTCACATAAGCTAAAGTCATTTGGGAGAAGGGAACCTTAATTGAGAAAATTTCCATACAAGACTGGCTTATGGAGAAGCATGGGGCATTTTCTTGATGATGATTTGTGTGGGAAATTCTGCCTCACAGTGGGTGGTGCCATTCCTAGGATTTTGGTCCTTGTTCTGACATATATAAGAAGCAAGCTTAGTAAGCTGTGAGGAGCAGGTCAGAAAGAAGTTCTCCTCCATGATCTCTGCATCAGTCCCTGACACCAGGTTCCTGCCCTATGTTCCTGTTCTGACTTCATGGATAATGGACACATACTTGGAAATGAAAGCTGAAATAAACCCTTTCCTCTGCTGGTAATGGTATTGGTAATGGTATTTTATCACAGTGATAGAAACCCTGACTAGAAACACCCTTATAAACATGAAACATGTATCCCAACCTAGATAATCCCTTATAGGTTCAACCTAAAGCTTGCCACTGGATGGCTATGTATCCTGTCAACCAACTTCATAATTAACAAAAGTTGCCAATTACTCACACATTTGTTTCACCCACCTGAAAAATCAAAGGACATGAATAAATTCCAGAGGGGGAGGGGAGAGGGATCCAAGATAGTGGCCTTCAGACAGGAAAGAGTATAAGAATTGCCTACAGGATTTCTGAGCATAGACAGCCTATCCCTCTCCCAGAATTTCTGACTCAGTAGGTCTGAATAAAGCCTAAGTGGGTTCTATTAAATATATATATATGTATATATATATATATTTGCAGTTGCTGATGCTCTTGCCCTTGAAATGAATAATTAGATTTGTTAATTTCCCTCTAAATAGTAGTTCAATATTCTTTATATGCCATAATTCAAATTCTTTATAAAGGCCTATATATTCTCCATCAGCTAGTTTTTGATTTATCATTTTTTGTTTGCTTGTTTGGTTGGTTGGTTGGTTTGGTTATTTGTTGTTGTTGTTGTTTGTTTGTTTGTTTTTGTTTTTGGAGACAGGGTTTCTCTGTGGCTTTGGAACTAGCTGTATACCTGGAATTAGCTCTGTATACCAGACTGGTTTAGAACTCACAGAGATATGCCTGTCTCTGCCTCTGGAGTGCTGAGATTAAAGGCATATGCCACCACCACCATGCTGACTTATCCTTTTTATTTAAAAAAGTTACATCCATTTGTGGGTGTGGGATATATGCCTCTGAGTGAAAACGGCCCAAGAAGCCAGAAGAAGATGTCAGCTCCCCTGGAGCAGGAGGCAGAGGGAGTTGGGCTTCACCTCACATATATAGGGAACTAAACTCAAGTCTTCAGCAAGAACAATATGTGCTCTTAATCACTGAGCCTCTTGTGCAGCCTCTGGCTTAATTTAGAGCCTTCCTGTCCTCAGTGAGGGACACACACACACACACACAGAGAGAGAGAGAGAGAGAGAGAGAGAGAGAGAGAGAAGAAGAAGAAGAAGAAGAAGAAGAGAGAGAGAGACCACATCAAACACACAATCCCCCCACAGCCACACCTTACCATGCCACACACACACAATACACCCCATATACACAAAAGTATTTACAAGTGCAACTGCATGTGTGTCAAAATCATAAGTGTACTCTGACTAAAGCATCCATTGCATGTAATTCAATAAAGGTAAACAAGGTATTTATCTTTGTTATAGTCTAACTCTGTGTGACAATTCCTACAGGGTACTCTTGAGCCTTTAAGATGTATTTCTCTAAACCTTTATCTGTAATCAAAATTTCTTGTTTTCTTCCTTCCTTCCTTCTTTCCTTCCTTCCTTCCATGAGTTTTTAAGAAAGCAAAAGAAAAAAGATCACTCTTTTCTGTCTAGTGGAACAGGCCTGCATGTCACATACCCAGTAGGCTGAGGCAGGTAATTTAACAAAATCTTTCCTTGAATATTAAAAAATGGGGACTGGGAATACAGCTTTGTTGGTAGAGTTCCAGCTTTAGCGCCACATGGAGAAAATTGTGGGGGTGCACACCTGTATCCTACTACTCAGGAAGTAAAGGCAGGGAGATTAGTAGTTTGGGAGAGTTCAAGGCCAGCCTGGGCTCCATGAAATCCTCTCTTAAAATAATATAATGATTGCAATCGAATTGAATTAGTAACCTAAAAAATGGAGTGTAGATATAGCTTACTGGTAATGTGGCTTCCTAACATGTGAATATCTCTAGTTTCAATCCCAAGTAACACACACACACATACACACACACACACACACACACACACACACACACAGAGGCAGACACATGCAAAAATTAATCTTCAACAGTTAAGCCATAGAAAGATGGACTTTCAATCAAACGTAAGATTTCTGACTCCCAGGCCAGGCCGTTTATAAAACAATGTGTCAGTCTTCAACTTGCAGTTGTATACATCTAAGACTTCTCCAGATGGAGCAGTTACAACACTTCTGGTGCATAAGTAACTAAATGAGAGATAATTTCATAGCAAAATAATTAAAAATTAACAAATTTATTTCCTCTAAAGTATCTCATTTAATTCCCAATCTGTTTAATCAGGTTTGATTATGGAAGCTTTCTACCAGGCAGTTTTAAGAATTTCTGAAACCTGTAGCCTTTCATCATCCTCTTGTACTTAACTGAGTGCTAGGGAGCATTGCTATAGTTTAAACTCTGTCCACGGTGTGGTTTGACAGTCCTGCTTCGTACCTGCTACACACATTCATGACTTCCCTTCTGATCCTGCTAACCTGATCGGTAAACACCCAGTGAGGTTTTCTGCTGGAGGACATTTGCTTCTTTCTATGAGCAAACTGCACTATCCTCCCTCCCACACCCTGGGGGACCCATCCTTCTAGACACTGTCCCCTGGTCATTATGCTTTGTGGTACTTTGACAATGAGACCAGAAGATCCACAGCCTTCTTTATTTGGATGCATTACGCTGATGTCTTTTATTGGGCCTCCAGGTTCAGTCCCTAGTACTACAAAAATGGAACAAACATGTTAGTTAAAAGTTCAAGTGGGCATGGATGTAAAAAGACAGGGCTCCTCTAAGAAAATGGGTTTTAAGACTTCCAATGATTTTTAAAAATTAGACTTCTACTACGTGGTTCTGGGGAACTGAACTCAGGCTTGTCAGCAAATCCCTCTATGGCTGAGCCATCTTTCTAGTTGTTAGTATATTCTGTATTGTTTAATATTGCAGCTAATTAAAGTTTTTGTTAAAGAATGATATATATATATATATATATATATATATATATATATATATATCCAAGAGACAATAAATAACACTTCGAGGCTGCACACACACACACACACACACACACACACACATATATATACACACTTAAAGACACATGCACATTTTATAGTAAGCATTAAAGATCCACTTGATAAAACTTAGAATCTCCTTGGAAGAGTCAACTGAGTTTTTATTAGACTAGCCTATAGCATGTCTGTAGGAGACTGTCTTGGTCATTAATTGAGGTAGGGATATCAACTCTTAATGTGGTCTACGTCATCACCTGGGTTGTGGTCTGAATTGCATAAGTGAGAAGAAATCTACTTTACAATAAGCAAACAAAAATGAATGTATTCTCTTTGCCTTTGACTGAAGCTGCAATGCAACGAAGTACTTCAGTTCTTGCCTTGACTTCTTTGAAATGATGGATTACTGTCAGGAATCATAAGCTAAATAAAGCCCTTGTTGACAGATGTTTTTCTCCTTGTTGGTTTTGTTTCTTTGTGTGTTTACACAGCAATGGAAATGAAACTAGCATACACACACATACATGAGGACAAAGACGCACATGTCTATCCACATACATACATATGTACACACAGAAAGTAGAAGAGAAATCCTGGTTTTAATGCACACTGCTGATCCCTCCTCAGCCACACAGAACTTGGCAAAGGCATTCACCGACTTTGCTGTGTTTGACTCCGCCCTTGTAGCCTAGTCCAAATGGAGGGGCCAGAAACCTCTGTTTACAGGCACCCCTCTCCTGGGAACGTCTAGGAAGGTGACTTACCTCATAGTCGATGTCCAGGACATCCGTCTCACCCTTGGTTCGGAAATGTAGCGTGTTTGTGTCCACAGTGAAGTTCGCCTGCTTGCCCACCCTCTCCAGGAGAACCGAGTGCCAGTGCTGGTCATCCAGAAGGCTACCCAGCATGGCAGAGGGAGCAATGTTGCTGAGTCTGGCTTTGCTGTCATCTGCAGAGGAAGGGAAGCAGAGTGGAGTCTTAGCCCTGGCAGCTTTGAATCCTGCCCACCAACAGCACTGAATACCAGGTACCTGAGTTTTCCTCAAACGCATCTTGAGCTGCCCCTCTACCGCAAACATTACCGGGCCTTCTGCAGGGGTCTAGCTCAAATGATACATACACCCACTTCCTGAAAAGAACCGTAATGTTCCTGAGACACCAGCAATTACAAGGTGATGGGAATGCTTATGGTATTGGCCACAGAAATAAAAATTAAAAGAAACGTTTCCACATTTGGAAAAATAAAAACTAAATTCATACATTTTTTTTTTTTTTTTAGTATTAGGAATGAAGAAAGCAAATCTTGAACTGGCTTGAGTGAGAGGAAGCCAGTGGACATACAGAACGTTTCTGCACAGAGAAGGACATAACCATCCCAGCTGCAACTGTTGAGCATGTATTATATGAACTGAGTCCTTCCAGCAAAATAGTTATGGCTGCTACCACCACACAGAATTTGTCTCAGCTTTCAGGGGGAGCTATCATTACGGATATATAATATTTTAAATCTTTGTACATTTCATGTGTGGGGGAGCACACGTGCAAGTGCATGATGTCCATAGAGTTGCTTCTTTTCTTCTGTCATGTATCATGTGTGTGGTGCAGCGTAACTCCGGCCATCAAGTTTGGCAGCAAACACCTTTACACACTGAAATATCATTTGGGCCCCTTATGCATTAATTTTAATTTGAGAGAATAGTTTATGTCCCCACCCCGTCATAGATTCTGATAGCTAAGTATAGCTCTTCTTTCTTGTACTGTATCATCCTTGACCCAACCTGTACTCATCTGTGCACAGGTGACTATGTGACGACATTCAGGTGTCAGAGGCAGTTAATCTCCCCATGGGCTGCTTACTCCTACCTGGTGTGGCCTAATGGTACTGTCTGCCCCACTGCATAATGATGATTGGCTTTCTCCTGAAGTTGGAGGGTGGATGGCCCACTTAGCACAGTTGCAAAGGGGAGCTGGCAAATTAATGTGTGATGCTGTTTGGTGATTTACTATTCATGTATTCCAGAAGCCTTGAATTCTCACCACTGTCAGATTATGCTAATGCCTTAGTAAATATCCCCTCTCTTCTTGCTGTCCTTCCTCCAACAGATATTGCAATCTAGCAGTACGGGCCATACAGAGAAAACATATGGAGGGAGGTAGAGCTCTCTCTTCTGAGAGTTCCAGTGTTGGTGGATTCCAGCAACAGTAGTGAGGACACATGACTACTTAAACACAGACGAAAGGCAAAGGACAAAGGAGGAAATAGTGTCTACCCGGTTTGAAGAAACCAGTGACTAGGCTGAGGGGTGGTGGGGATAATGGAAGGGTCCCTCAGCAGAGGAGAGCTAGCTGACTGAGCTGGCTGCACCCTCCAGGACAGGGTGGGGTTTCTGCATTCAGATTAACATGGAAGGAAGTTTTGATTAGCAGTCATATAAGATCTGACTGTTGTTGCCAATTCGCCTCCTTTAAAAGTTATGCCAGCTTTAACTCCTAGTGTAAGTTATGAGTATCTGATAGGTAACAATTATATTTCTGAGTAATTTCAACACGTGTGTGTGTGTGTGTGTGTGTGTGTGTGTGTGTGTGTGTGTTTGCCATAATGTACCTCTGAGATCATGGATAGCCTATAATGTCAGCCTTTACCTGTCATTTTGTTGCATACAGGTCTCTTGTTTGCCCCTGAATATCCAACCCTCTCCAAGTGTGTCTCGCCATTTATTCGTTTTGCATTTAGAAACCCAGTTCTTGCATTATGTTGGAAGGCAGGTAGTTGGAGCTATCTAGACCCCATGAGTGCACCATCTCCGATGAACATCTTGAGAAAACATGGTCACCCAGGCTCAGACACAGCAAGATGTGCTGCTACACTGAAATCGGGACATTAGAGCAGGACCTCTAAGTACTGCGCCTTTAACCTAGTCATCTACTTTCTTCAAATGTATTCTAAGGCAATAAATTAATCTGTGCCTGAGAAAAGTCTAATGATTTAAATATTGGAGATCATATTCAGTAGTTTGGAGAGAGATTAAACTTACATATAAAATCAACAAAAGGATATTAGATAGCTGTTGAAGTGGCATTTATGAAGGTCTCATAGCACTTTTAAATATTTATGAGCCAAAACTACATTTTTAGATGAAATTAAAAGTGACAGCTAATAAAATATCTAGCAACTTAAAATTCTTAATTTAGTGTATGTACAAGTAGAATAGAAATGTGTAAATGCACAGTGAACATAAATGTGCAAAATCACTTTAAACTCATAAAGTGCAAAAATTTGCCACGTCAAAAGTACTTTTATTTTCTTCTCTATTTATCATTAACTTCTTTAATATCTAGAATGAATATTCTCTAATTATTATGTTAATCTTACATGAATTACTGACCACAACCTGAATTGCACAGAGTTTCTCATGTGCGTTTCTTTGGTGACTGCAGGATGAATTCAATGTCTTGAATCCATTGTCAAACTATTAATATCATCTACCACTGAGTTATGCCCATATTCACAGGCTCAGTTTTTATCACACATATTTACTGATTCATGGGGACAGTGTGAGTGTTAGCATGCAATGGTGTGGACGTGTAGACCGGAGAAAACATTGTGGGAACTGGCTCTCTCCTTCTGCCTCCTGGATCCCAGCATTTGAATTCGGTCTGTCAGCCTTAACAGCATGCCTGCCCAATGAGCCATCTCAGCGGCCCACAAGGCTACTTCTAACAGACGCAAGAAGAGGAAGATATGAATGAATTCCAACCACTTCTTTATTTTTCACTAAAGCTAAGATATCCTACATTAAAGTGAGAGAGAACTGGTCTGATCAAATACATGCAGGAAAAAAAAAAAAAACCCTGCTATTTGAGTATTAGTAGTTTAGGATTGTATTGATGAAGACAGAACAACGATCATCTAATGAAACCGCCCCTAGAAATCCAGACTGTTGTTATGGAAACCGTAGAAAAACACAATTCCCAGCACACTATCACAGCCTTTATCTTGGGACACCTGTTTCCAGTTTTATCTCAGTTGCATTTGATGTTCAATTATCCCATTTTAACGGCTTTTCAGTTTATTAAGACAAGATAAAAATCCTCCGGAACAGCTGAGAAGAATACAAATGAAATAATGAGGAAAAGCTGGCTCTGGGGCCAGAAACAAAGATATTTGTGTCTAATTAAATGGAACTTTTTTTTTTCTGTTTAGTTTGAAGATGACATAAGTATCACCTAAGCCTTATTGGAATGAATACGGGAAGGGATGTTTGCACTTTTAAAAGATTTATTATCTTTAACTTTTAAAATTTTATATACATGGATATTTTGCTCATATCTGTGTTTGTGCACCATGTGCATGCCTGTAGAGGTTAGGACAGGGCCCTGAGTGACTTACAACTGAAATTCTGGATCAAGGGTTTTGAGCTGCCATGCGGGTCCTGGAAATTGAATTCAGATTGTCTTAAGAGCAAAAGTCTTTTTACTCGCCCAGTCATCTTTCCAGAAGCCCATTAAAACTTTCCTTTTAGTATCTGTGTGAGTGTGTGTGCCTGTATCTGTGAATATATATGTGTGGTTGAGTGCAGGTGCCCATGGAGGCCACGGCAGCACCCCGTCTTCTGGACCCAGAGTTATGGGCAGTTGTGAGCCTCTCTGTGTGGGTACTGAGACCTACATGCCCATCCTCCACTCTTTTAACTACTGAGTCTTCTCTCTAGCCCCAACGCTTACATTTTTACCTTCTTCTTTGTTTTCACTCTCCCCCCCCCCCCCTTATCCTTAGAAGCATAGCATGGGCTGGATGGGCAGCCAGTTCCAGGAATCTACCTGTTTCTGCCTCCCTGCTCCTGGGGACACAGGTTTGTGCTCCACAGTCTTTGTGGACTCTGGAGACCACACTCAGCTCCTCATTCTTAAGCAGCAAACCCTTTGCCAAAGACTTATCTCTCCAGCCCTGTCAAATTTCTTCTTCTGGGTTTCTCTGTAGCTTTGGAACCGGTTCCATACTAGAACTCACAGAGATCCTCCTGCCTCTGCCTCCCAGTGCAAGAATTAAAGGCGTGTGCCACCAACTCCCAGCTCAAATTTCTTATATAGGTAATATTCTTTATATTGTTTTGGTATTTTTAAAGGTGTGTGTGTGTGTGTGTGTGTGTGTGTGTGCGTGTGTCAGAGAGAGAGAGCGAGAGAGAGAGAGAGAGAGAGAGAGAGAGAGAGAGAGAGAGAGAGAGAGAGAGAGAGATTGCTTCTCCTAGAGCTAGAGTTATAAGTAGCTCTAAGCTGCCTGATCTTTGGAACCAAACTCCAGTCCTCTGCAAGAGCGGAAAGTGCTCTTAAGCACTGGACAATCTCTCCAAATCCCAAATCCCTCCATTTTTGTTTTGTTCTTGTTGGTTTTTTTTTTCTGTTTGTTTGTTTGTTTTTTAAAGAAATTGGTTTCAAAGAAGCTGTGTGACTTTCACAAGGACACAGAGAACTGGTCACCACTCAGCTCTGTCTGACCCACAGCTAATACTCTCTCCATTCTTCCTGCTGGCGAAGAAGGCTATCCCACCCCCCACCCCCCGCCCCGTCATCTCTGTGTTCTCATTATCTGCATTCAATCCTACTAGTCTGTTGTTTATGAGCACTAATTCAGACTAGGAGTGGAGAAGTTAAGAAAAGCAACTGGATGAATTGGAGAGCAGAGAGCTGAGCTGAAGGAAAACAAAGGTAGAAGGACATTATATAGAACGCCAAGGCAAAATATCACCCCATGGGTTAGCAGGACTCACAAAGTGGTCTCCGAAGCATGCAAGTGAGAATACTAAAGCCAAGGGAGGTGATTCCAACTGCCTTCTCCCCACCCCACTCCTGCTGCTTTCTCAAAGAGACAGGCCAAATCTCTGGGTGTCACTAAAACAATGCAATACAAATCTGTTTTAGGAAATCCAGTATGGGTTTCTCCATCCTTGGTTCTAACTGGTGTCCACCTTCTGTGACTGTGCCGCCATAGAAAGGTGTTAGATGATGAGTTTATGTGACAGGGTTTAGCTGGTGCATGGGTGCTACATTGTAATAAATGTTACAAAGCTTGAAGATAAAGTGATTGACCAACACAACTTTTTGACCAATGGCATTAATCTCATTGCTTAATTGCTGGTGGGTGATAATTAAAGTTACTGCCAATTTTGCAGGATCCAGAATCACCTAGTAGACAAATCTCTGGGTGTGTCTGTGAGGAAGTTTCTAGACTGGGTTGAGGAAGAAAGACCCATCTTCATTGTCGGCATCAGCTTTTCACTGCTGGACACCAGGAGTGAATAGTGAGGAGAAAGTGAGCTAGAACAACATTCATCTCTCTCTGCTTCCTGACTGCAGATGCCAGGGGACCAGCGATCATCAACTCTTAACCTGCCATGATGGATGGTACACTTGAGTTGTAAGATGAAATAAATCCTTTCCTGCCTGAGGTGCTTTGGTTGGGTGTTTGGCAGAGCAACATATGCTTATTTCACAAGTTGCAGAATTTATGAAGAATCTATCATACCCATTCACACTGTCTAAAACACCAGTCCTCCTATTTCACAATCAATGCCACAGAACTTGAGATCACCTTGGATAATCATCTTTGCAGCTTTACATATAAATGTTGGCACCTGGCGTTTAGTACTTTACTGTTTGATGGAGACGTATAGCATCTTAGTGATTTGTGTCAGGACACTAGGTAAGATCTGAGATCTGAAGAGCTTTCAGATCCATATTCTCAAGGTGTGCAGTCATGGGAATTTACATGATTGACAGTCATCACAGGATGGGTTAAAAATAACATATAGGAACATTGGAGATGTAGCTCAATTATTAGAGCTCTGGCCTAGCATCCATGATGTCCCAGCTTCTAACCCCAGTACTGTATAAACTTGGCATGTGGTGTATGCCTGTAATCTCAGCAGCCCAACGCTGGATGCAGGAGGACCTGAAGTCCCATGTCATTCTCAGCTCCATAAAAGTGTAAAGTCAGCATGGGATGCATGAGACTCTGCCTCCCAACAAAACAAAGCAAAATTAATTGTTGAAAATTCAAAGGAGCTATAAAGTAAATGGTCACCAGTTTCTTTAGAGTTGGAGAAACTTACTATTGTCTTGAGAAACTGCCATGGTTCTAGCCTTTGAACCCTGGACCTGGCCCTCAAAGAACACTCAAGCCTGCTAGTGTTCTATGACAGGCCTTTCACTGTCCTGCATCTGTATGTGCTGGAATCACGCAGCACTCTGCTGCAGTTCAAAACCATTGGAGTCCTGTAAGGATGAGTAAACTGCCTGCGTGCTCTGTGATGTCCCCTTCAGTATTGAACAACAGTTCTCCAGTCACACAGGTCTTTCACCCTTTGATTCTCCCCCTGCCTATTATACCTTTGCCTTTCTACAGAGGGCAGATTGCCATGGGCATTTGAAGTTTGTGAATCCTGGGAGGGGAGTCACCCAACCCCCATTGCCCATGGATTGAAGAGGGAAATCTCATGCCCAGTTAGTAATCCTAGAAGTTTGTATTCTACCCTTGGAAAGTAGGACAAGCACAACTGCCTAGTGAAATTTCACCACAGGACCAATCCGGTCTTCAAAGGACATAGCACAGATAACTAGATACTTGAACAACAGTGTGCTGTGAATGTCTCCAGTTTACCTTTCTTATTTATTGTTATTATTTATTCGTGTGTGTGTGTGTGTGTGTGTGTGTGTATCTGTGTGCGTCTTGTGTTTTTCTTCAATTACTCTCCATGATGTTGTTTTGGAATTTTTGTCTGTTCATTTGATGCAAGAATTCCCACGGGGTGAGAATTCTCCAAGGCTAGGCAGATGGCTGGTGAACCTTAGGGACCCATGTGTCTCTGCCTCCCAAGTACGGGGGTTAGGAGCATTACAAGCATGCACTACCAAGTATGGTTTTTCATGTGGGTTGCAGAGGTTGACCTCAGGTCCCTATGCTTGTATGACAAGAAAATTAGCAGCAGAGTCTTCTCCCCAGCCCATGGTTTATATTTTGCCTTCTGTGTTAGACATCACTTTTATGAAATAATCTTGGAAATTTGTAGGTTCCTTCTTCTTCTCTTTCTTATATTTACCATGGAGGCCAGGAGGATGCTTGGAGTTGCCCCTGAGGAAGAAGCAGCTTAAACGCCTACATTGTTTACTGTTGGGAGTGAGGCTGCACTGTGGAGACTCTCACATTCTCCTGATGACCTAAACACAGCCTGCTCTGGTGTTACCTATGTACCCTGAGCTTGTTCCCAATGTTGAACTATATTCATCCTTCTTGCCTACTTGATAGTAAATATTAATAGCCATGCATTTCCTATCTTTATATTAATAAATATTAACTGGGATACAGGAAGGGAATCTTGGACAAAAGAAGCAGTGTGTGTAGGGCCCAGAAAGATTGCTCAGCAGGTTAAAGGCATGTGCCACTGAACCTGATGACATAGTTGGACGCTGGGGAGCTATGTGGAAAACAGAAAGATCCAACTCCTAATTGTCCTCCGACCTTTATACCTGTGCCATGGTGAACCACTACCACATACAAATAAATGAATGTCTTTAATTTACAAAGCCACTTTCTTTGCCCTCTGGCATACGTCTTTTCTATGAGGTTTCTCTAGATGAGAATTCCTTTGGTTTTCTTCTGTGCCCTAAGGAACTCAGCACCTACCTCCTGCGGCCTGCCTTGTCCTTCCTTTCTTCTGTAAGAAGTCATAAAGGAACTCGTCCCTTTTGTCCTGGGGTGCGAAGCTGGGTATAGTGGAGGTAGACCTACTGGCAATGGAGCAAGCCCAAGGAGGAGCTCACTCATAGGGGTAAGTGGCATCCTAGCATCCTGCTGCACAGAGGCAAAAGGTGCCCTTTGCTACCTCAGCTGCCATCCAGGTCCCAGGCTCATCCTTCCAGGGCCAGGTCATTTTAACACAGGAAAGCCCAGTGACTTAGTTTTTTCCCCTCACACATTTTACCTCCCTAAGATGAACAAAATGATTGCCTGTTTCTCTTGACATATTTTTTAATGTGCCTAGTTAGCTCAAATATGAGAAGCTCATTATAATGAGTACACGCTTAAACTTTTTTAAAGTTACTTAAGAGATTGAAAAAAAAAAGTCAGGTTAAGTATGCACATTAAAAGATATGTAAAAGTTCCATTGTAGCTTCCCTTATATAAAAATATTGTCTTTTATAAGTACTGTTCTATCCACATGAAGATGATATTTTTCAAAATAAGTGTTGTTCTAATTCAATAAAAACAAAGGAAATAGGTCACTTCGATAGTGGTCTGATGACTCCATTTAATGGGCTGAAAAATCTTGCCATATATGTTATAGTGACCTTGTGCAAACATTGGTAAATATCAGCACCCGTGGAACTAAACTTGAACCCCTAGTACCCATATCCCAAAGTAATACAATGATGATGATGATAATAGTAATAGTGATAAACAAAATAAAATTGTATATGACTGTGAGTGCCTACCCCAACGACAGAAATAGGTGGATCTTAATATCTTGCTAAACACTCAGCCTAACCTCAAACATAGGCTTTTGTGACATTAAAAGATCTTGTATCTAAACAATAGGTCAGAAAGAGGGGGTTATCTAGTGCCTTAGTCTGTCTCCTACATGTATGTGCATGTATATACATGTATATACACACATGTATAATTATGTGCACATAACACATACACACACACATACACACACACACACACACACCAAAATAAGTGAGCTATGTGTTCAGTGAACGACTGCCCCAAAACACAAGTTAGGGGTAATAGAGTTCTGGCCTCAACAGTTATAAGTACATATGCATGCAAGAAAGATATCACCACACCCTACCTAGGTTCAAGTACAGGGCTAGTCTGCCCTTCTGTAGCTCCAGGGTGATATGGTCTCCACGTTGACCTTCTCCATGGAACAGAACCCCATCTCCTTGCATGCTCTTGAACTTCAGGGAGATAACATCCTTGAGGGTACTCATCATCTTCTGATTGAACCTGTACAAAAGCGAGCTCCTGCCATCAAAGTCAGCAACATCAGATTCTGGGAGCAGAGAGAAGAGACAAAGAAATATCAATATGTTTCCTCAAGTTACTCTTGCTTTTCATCTTTAGTTCTGCTCAGGTGATGGGAATGTTCCTGAACTCTTAAGAGAGCTCTCTTACAAGGAGGCACATGGAGCAGAACCAACTTAAGTAGAATACAAGGAACCGTTCATTTGTAGGCAGTGCACCCACACCAGACAGGAAAAACTTGCATTAGTAATCATTGGACAAAACAAGAGATGAACAGCAACATGTCATGGAAAGGTGTTGACACATAACTCTCTCCAATGAGGAATTGCACAAGAGAGGCTCGAGATCATGATTGGTCCTCAGACAGGAGGGATATCATTCAACAGAGATATAATGGAGCCTTAGAAGGTAGAGTGGTTTGCTTAAATGCCCTGAGAGTTTCTTCATTAATAGGAAGAATAAGAAGAGGACAGGGTGAGTGAGAGAAATATATAGTTGTTATGCAAAGGATGCTGAAAAAAGCCAGAAGAACCTCCTCAGAGAGGAACGCTTAGAGCTCTCATGAAGAAATCTCTCTGAGGTATCTGGCACCCATCCTTGGATCAAATGAAAGGACCAATATTTTATAACATTTAGAGGTGGCAGACAAATTGCTTATTAAATCCTCTACCTCAGTGAGAGCTGAAGGGAGCTATGGTGTGGTATGGTTAAATGCCCAGGATAAAGGTGCAAGCCCATGGTCTACTGTGATGTGCCAGCCTATGTTTAAGGAAACAGGATAACAATGCCACAGGCATCTGCATTAGGATTTGGGGCCAGTGCCTGGTTTATAACAACCTCTCATGGTTTACCCTTCTTTCTAATTTGCTTCTAACATCTAGAGCCACTTGATCTCTTCATCCCAAGCTCTGGGCTGGAATTGGAAAAGAGACCACCTTTATTATGATAACGCTGGTTGCGTAATCCAATATTTTCAAGAACCTTGTGCTGAGAATTCTGAAGATTCCTTGGGGTTTAGTCAAGAAGAATAATGTATGGAGACTGGCAATTTGAACATATGGTATTATGGTATATATGCCTTGGTCTGGGTTGCTGTTTTAGGGTTCTGTGCAAAATATCCTGTCATTATTATTATGTTTGAAATTTATCCTTGTCTGAGATAGTCCTTTAGTTGAGATATAAACTTAAGGAATTGTATGTGATAACATGTAATCTCTCAATAATTACACACATTGTCTAATGTCAACTCAGAATAAGTATATCTTGTTTCTTAAATATATGAGACTGCTTTGTTGATCAGTATGGCCTGTTTCCTCTGCATACAGCATATTGAACTCATTATTACTTAAGAATAGAGATTAGCTCAGCCTCAGAGCCATGGCAACCAAGTAACCAATGCAATAGACAAGTAGCTAGGTCTATGGTCATAGAAATGGAGCTACTGATGCTGCCTAATGATAGAAGGGAGTGGAGGGTCACCAGACGCTCACCTGGAAGTCAAGCCATTATTCCTTCCTGCCCTCCCCAGCTTGTGAGGACTTGACCTTGTGAGATTTTAATATGTAGGGAGCAGAAGTTTAGGGAAGGGGATTCTTTGCAGTTTACATGAGGCTGTCATCTACACAGGGTTGTCCTCTTACTGGAAGCACCTTTAGTTAATCAATCACCTACCAATGCTCTGTAAGTATGAGTACTCAGTTTGTTTGTTTGTCAAATTAGGCTTTGGTAGGAAGCCTTTAAATCTTGTTTGTTTTTTTTTTGTTTTGTTTTGTTTTGTTTTGTTTTTCTCTCAATTTTCTTGAGATCAGCTTGGCCAAATCCCATGCAAGATATGTAGCATTTGGCATCATATGCCAGCCTCAGTTCATTTAGCATATTGTCACTCAGTCCTGTAAATATGAAAGCCAGAGGGAGAAAGTCAAGAAGTCATGATCTAAACAAATTTATGTAGTAGATGTGTATATAAAAACTGATGAGCCTGTCAAAATATGCAGTGAAGAAATTATTTGACCCTGTGGGGGGGGGAGAAAGAGAGAAAGAAAGAACATACATGGTCACATGTGTATGTATGTGCATGCATTTGTATATGCATGTGGACATCTTGGGTTAACACTGCATGTCTTCTTTAATCACATTCCACATTGTTTTTGTTCTTGTTATGGTTGACAATGAGATTCATAGAGTCAGGCTGTTAATTGAATTCACAACACTGCCAAGGAAGCCATTAATCTTCTCATCCTCATGCCTCCATCTCCTGAGTGATAGCATTATAAGAGTGTCCTATGAATTTGGGTGTTAGATAGTGCTGGGGTCAACTCCATTCCTTGTGCATGGTAAATACACTTTCTGCTCACTGAACTGCCTCCCTAACTCCCATCTTTCACTGAACTTGGTTCCCAGCATTTAAGCAGACTGGATGGCCAGTGAGCTCTAGGGATCCTCTTGCCTCTACCTCAAAGCTGAGATTACTGGCGTGTGCCACTGTCCCCAGCATTTCACATTTGTGCTGAATTCATGGTGCCATACTTGTGTGGCAAGCACATTGCCACTGGGGAATCTCTACCACACCTTGGAAGAATTATTGTTGGTTACTTTCATATCCTTTCACTATTTTTATTACAAAAAAAAATTTTTGCTGTAAAATGTTATTACTCTTATAATACAAAAAAATGTAAGGCAACTTTATTATAGCTTGGAAGGGATTCATGATATACCATCTTAGCAGGGTGAACAAAAGGTGACAGGATATCTGGACAGGATAGAATTATTCTTATTTGAAATCCAGAAGCCTCAAAAACTCAATTTTTCAGGATTTACCAAGCAATTAAAATTCTCAGATTGAGTATTCATAATGATAATAATTATTTTTCCTGTTCAAGGATATAGAATTACCCTTACTTAGTAAATAAAATGTTGAAATAAAATTAAGAATCATGATTTCCTGGAATTACCTAGGAACTAAAATTCCATAATTTATTTTTACATATCCAGGCTCTGACTCCTAACATATACAGGTCATGACCCTTCATTGTAGAAAGAAAAGCAAGATTTGGGGAGGTTTTCACAATCTTTTGGGTTCTTCAGAACCTTCCCATCATAAGCTAGTGCTACATATATGAGCATACTGTGCTCACTGAGCTTCTAGCTGAGCCACCAGAGCTCTTGACACTATTGTCCTATCTTGAGAGCTATAGCATGCCAGCTGGATCACCTCTTCAACTTTATGTTTTTAAGACTTAATTTCATACATAAGATGTATACATTAGAAACACATAAAACACGTCCTTTAGAAAAAGACCCTTCAGGGCTGGGAAGATGACTCAATGAGTAAAATGTTTGTTGTGTCTGAATAAGGACCTGACTGTCCAGATCCCCAGCATTCCTTTAAAACAGGTAGGAGGGCCTGTAATCCTAGAACTACAGAGACAAAGACAGGTGGATCCCTGGGGTTCACTGGCTAGCAATTCTAGCCAATAGGCAAGTTCAAGGTTCAATGATAGACCCATTCTCAAAAATAAGGTATGTATGGGGCTGGAAATATGTCTCAATGGTTAAGTGTGAACACTGCTCCTTCAGATCCCAGCACTCACATGAGATGATTAATGGTTGAATATGACTCTCCAGATCCTGGTCACCCGTTGTACATATGCCCTGCCTGCCCCCCAAAAATATACTGTGGTGATATCTTGCTTGTATAAATAAAGTCTGTCAGAAGATCAGAGAATGGAACTTGCCACTAGCTAACCATAGAGGTCTGGAGTTCTCTACTTACAGACAGGAAGTGAAGTGGCTGGGTGGAAACAGGAAGTGAGATGTCTGAGGACAGTCAGGAAGTGAGACTACAGGGCAGAGAGAGGATATAAGCAGGAAGAAACAGGAACTCTTTTGTCTACTAAGATGTTAAGGAGGTAAAGTGTGGCTGTGACTTGCTTCTTCTTCTCTCTAATCTCTCAGCATTTTCCTCCATATCTGACTCTGTTTTTTTTTATTATTATTATTTAGACCAATTAAGAACACCATCTACAATATACTCATAGTTAAAAGTAAAATAAAAATATTATGAAAATGAAGTGTTCAGAAAAGGAGGAAGATGCCTGATATGCACACCCATGTGAGCAGGAACACACAAGCATAAGCAATGTGTTGAAACAGTCCAGACAAGTTAGAAGAGAAGACTTGGGAGAGGCAGTTGTGATCATAATACATTGTAGACATTCATAAGATTATCAGAGAATGGATACACAAGGAAATAAACAAAGAGATGGATAATCCAATATTAATTGTGCTAATACAAGTCACTTGATAGCACATTAAAGATCTATACCATCTTACCAGACACTCTACTTGTTTTAAATCACCATGAAATAGATTATCAATTATGCCTGGGCTAAGTGGAAGAGCAATGAGTTCATGAACTGAAACTCTTTCACCAAATGCTGCTATTTTATTCTGGTGTCACGGTTTACTGTCCAATGTGTGCCTGGTTGAGCCCTACTGAGCCTTGTTTCCACTTTCTCCAGTGCTGTTGAAATGTACCACCTGGGCAGGTATGTGTATGGTGGATTTCTGCTCTCTTCTGATTGCTGTCCCTCTGACACCATTGAAGCTTTACTGCCTGGCAATGCACAGAACAAGTACATAGCACCCAACCAGTTTCAACAAAGACTAGGAAGGTCCAGATGTACAAGGCAGCATCAGTATGCTGGTCCTGAATAATGCACTTGAGGAGAGAAGGACCCAGCATTACAGGGAGACATGGGAGGACAAAGACCAGGCTACGGGCAGCACAAACACTGATTTCCAGCCTGCTTACTTTCTAAAGGCTATGGTCACACCTAACCAGTAACTGAAACTCAACATTTACTCACAGGTGTGTCGGTCCCACCTGCATGAGCAAATACAGCATTTCACCTCTACACTCCCACGGCATGGAGAACATTACTGCATTCGAGTGTCATTGCCCAACACTGTGGTAAGTCTCTCCCATATCATCCCATTGTATGTGCAGGGCTGAGTTCAGAGGGCACC